CTTGACCTCTATTTTTCATGTGTTGATATCTGAGGCTGCAGGCTCTCCATTTTTTTTTTTAATTGTACTTTAAGTTCTGGAGTACATGTGCAGATCTTGCAGGATTGTTGCATAGGTACATACATGCCATGGTGGTTTGCTGTCTCCATCCCCCTGTTGCCTACATCAGGCATTTCTCCAATGTTAGCCCTCCCCAGCCTCTCCACCCCCTGCTGTCCCTCCCCTAGATCCCCATTCCCCAACAGCCCCCAGTGTGTGATGTTCCCCTCCCTGTGCCCATGTGTTCTCATTGTTCAGTACCCATCTATAAGTGAAAACATGTGGTGTTTGGTTTTCTGTTCTTGTGTCAGTTTGCTTAGAATGATGGTTTCCAGATTCATCCATATCCCTACAAAGGACATGAACTCGTCCTTTTTTATGGCTGCATAGTATTCCATGGTGTACATGTGCCATGTTTTCTTTGTCCAGTCTATCACTGATGGGTATTTGGGTTGGTTCCAGGTGTTTGCTATTGTAAACAGTGCCATAATGAACATATGTGTGCATATGTCTTTATAATAGAACGATTTATAATCCTTTGGGCATATACCCAGTAATGGTATTGCTGGGTCAAATGGAATTTCTACTTCTAGATCCTTGAGGAATCACCACACTGTCTTCCACAATGGTTGAACTAATTTACACTCCCAAAAACAGTGTAAAAATGTTCCTATTTCTCCACATCCTCTCCAGCATCTGTTGTCTCCAGATTTTTTTAATGACTGCCATTCTAACTGGCATGAGATGGTATCTCAATGTGGTTTTGATTTGCGTTTCTCTAATGACCAGTGATGATGAGCATTTTTTTATATGTTTGTCGGCCTCATAAATGTCTTCATTTGGAAGTGTCTGTGCATATCCTTTGCCCACTTTTGAATGGGTTTGTTTGTTTCTTGTAAATCTACTTTAGTTCTTTATAGATTCTAGACATTAGCCCTTTGTCAGATGCGTAGATTGCAAAAATTTTTTCCCATTCTGTTGGATGCTGGTTCACTCTAATGATTATTTCTTTTGCTGTGCAGAAACTCTTAAGCTTTTTTTTTTTCTTTTCCTTTTTTGAGATAGAGTCTCACTCTGTCACCAGGCTAGAGTGCAGTCAGTTCACTGCAACCTCCGCCTCCCCAGTTCAAGCAATTCCCCTGCTTCAGCTTCCCAAGTAGCTGGGATTGCAGGTGCACACGACCATGCCCGGCTTACTTTTTGTATTTTAGTAGAGACGGGGTTTCACCATGTTGGCCAGTATGGTCTCGATCTCCTGACCTCGTGATCCACCCACCTCAGCCTACCACAGTGCTGGGATTACAGGCGTGAGCCATCGCATCTGGCCCAGGCTGTTCATTCTAAGGATGTGGGGTTTTGGCTTTTTCATGGTTTTGTTTTTGTTTGTCTTTGCTTTGTAGAAAATAATGCTCTTACTTTTTTTTGTTACAGTCTCCAAGTACAAATGCGTAATAAATTCTCTGGTAGTTGGATAAAAGTTACTGGATCATGGTAAAGTTTAAATTTGTAAACTTTAAAAAAAGTGGTGGAGTGTATCAGTACGTCCTTGATTTGTACATAATTGTCCTCTGTAGTCATCATCACTAGAATTTTCTTTTTTTTTTTTTTTTTGAGACGGAGTTTCGCTCTTGTTACCCAGGCTGGAGTGCAATGGCGCGATCTCGGCTCACCGCAACCTCCGCCTCCTGGGTTCAGGCAATTCTCCTGCCTCAGTCTCCTGAGTAGCTGGGATTACAGGCACGCGCCACCATGCCCAGCTAATTTTTTTTATTTTTAGTAGAGACGGGGTTTCACCATGTTGACCAGGATGGTCTCAATCTCTTGACCTCGTGATCCACCCGCCTCGGCCTCCCAAAGTGCTGGGATTACAGGCTTGAGCCACCGCGCCCGGCCTATCACTAGAATTTTCTTAATCGACTAGTCTTGTCTTCCTACTCAGTATGAAGTGGAAACTATTTGACATTTATTTCCTAATTATCAAGGAGATGAACATTTTTTTCTTTTTTTTTTTTTTTATTAAAAGGCTATACAAGAAATATTTATTTTTTTTTTGGCTGGAGTGCAGTGGCATAGTTATGGCTCATTGCAGCCTTGACTTCATGGGCTCAAGCAATCCTCCCACCTTACCCTCCCAAGTAGTTGAGACCAGAGGCATGTACCACCATACCTGGCCAATTTCTGTATTTTTTGTAGATACAGGGTTTCACCAGGTTTCCCAGGCTGGTCTTGAACTCCTGGGCTCAAACAATCCACCCACTTCAGCCTCCCAAACTGCTGGAATTATAGGCATAAGACATCATGCCTGGCAAAATATTTATTTTCTATTAAATGTAAATGTAGATAAACCTTACTGAGAACATCCAGGCATGCATATGGACTTTTCACGATGGAGAGTTCCCTAGAGCCAAATTTCTTCCTGCTCAGACCCCAGTCCTAATGACTTAAGAAAACCCCTTCTAAACTGTGAAGAAAATTCCTCTATGTGAATCTTTCCATGTATAGTGCACATGAGTGCATGGAAATGAGAGAACCTGGAACAATCCCTAGAGTATCTGTCTGGGAATCACTTCCTTCTGAAACTGGAGAAAAACTCTCTGTTCTTTTTTTTATTTTTACTTTTTGAGATGGAGTCTCACTCTGTAGTCCAGGCTGGAGTGCAGTGGCATTATCTCAGTTCATTGCAACCTCCATCTCCCAGGTTCAAGCGATTCTCCTGCCTCAGCCTCTTAAGTACCTGAGACTACAGGTGCCTGCCACCGTGTCTGGCTAATTTTTGTATTTTTAGTAGATACAGAGTTTTACCATGTTGGCCAGGCTGGTCTCAAATTCCTGATCTCAGGTGATCCACCCACTTCAGCCTCCCAGAGTGCTGTGATTACAGCCATGAGCCACCGCACCCAGCTGAGGTTTTATGTTCTTTTGGAGGTATGAAATTATCTGTTATGTAATTTTACAATCATAGGCAAATTCACCATCAGACCATTGTGGCCATCAATGAAGTCCCCTGCAAATTGATACTCTCAGCCTATTCTTCAAGGTCAGCAAAGCCCAGATTCCATGATTATGGATCTTCCAGAAAGTGCTCCTCTGACATTTTATCTCAATTTGTATATGTTTGTGTAATAAAAATTGTTCAAAGCAGTTCTGACACTCATGAGCATAAGGATTTTGTGAAGGTCTAAGTTAGTGCCCTCTTCCTGTGCCTGAGCTCTGTCTTCCCAATAACTTCCTAGCCTCATGAAATGGGACAGAAAGGAAAAGGAAAAACTGTGTCTGTGATAAATATTACACACTTAGCCAGGCTTGGTGGCTCATGCCTATAATTGCAACGTGTAGGGATATATGTATCAGAAACAAGTTGAAATTAATACATCTCTAAAAGAGTATTTCCATTCAGCCAGCAGAATCTTGAGTGCTTCTAAATGGCCTCAAATACTTCAGGACAATATGGGCAGCTAGACCTTTTTACAAGTTGGGTTTCCACAAGCCTCCTGGCCTCTCATGTATAACAAAGGGGATAGAAGATTCTCAATGTGTATTTACTTACTAAAATCTTCACCTCGTATAATCCCGCATCTTAAGGAATGCTGAATGATTTGGGTAATAAGAAATTAGGCTATGAGCTGGGTATGGTGATTCTTACCTGTAATCACAACACTTTGGGAGGCACAGGCAGGAGGAACGCTTCAGGCTGAGAGTTCAAGATCAACCCGGACAACATAACAAAACCCCATCTCTAACCAAAAAATTTTTTTAATTAGCTGGGTGTGGTGGTGCACATATGTAGTCCTAACTACTTGTGAATCTAAGGCAGGACGATCTCTTGGGGGCCCAGGGGTTTGAGGCTATAGTGAGTTAATGCTTTCTGCACGTGAGCCTGGGTGACAGAGCGAGACCCCGTCTCTTGGAAAACAACAAACAAACAAGAAATAAGAGTTGATCTCATAAAGAATTGAAGATCTTACCTGTAATCCAGCACTTTGAGAGACCAAGTCTGGTGAATCGCTTGAGCTGAGGAATTTGATACCAGCCTGGGCAACATGGCAACACCCATCTCTACAAAAAATACACACAAAATACTTAGCCAAGTGTAGTGGTGTGTTCCTATATTCCCAGCTACTCAGGAGGCTGAGGTTGGAGGATTGCTTAAGCCTGGGAGGTCTAGGCTCCAGTGAGCTGTGATTGTACCACTGCACTCCAAACCTAGGCAGCAGAGCAAGACCATCTATGCCTCAAAAAGAAAGAATAAAAAAGGCCAGGCACAATGGTTCATGCCTGTAATCCTAACACTTTGGGAGGCCAAGCTGGGTGGATCACTTGATGTCAGGAGTTCCAGAGCAGCCTGGCCAACATGGCAAAACCCCATCTCTACTAAAAATACAAAGATAAGGCTGGGCATGGTGGCTTACAGCTGTAATCCCAGCATTTTGGGAGGCCTAGGCAAGCAGATCACAAGGCCGAGAGATTAAGACCATCCTGGTCAACATGGTGAAACTCCGTCTCTACTAAAAATTTAAAAATTAGCCAGGCATGGTGGTGCATGCCTGTAGTCTCAGCTACTCGGGAGGCTGAGTCAGGAGAATCACTTGAATCCGGGAAGCAGAGGCTGCAGTGAGCCAAGATCACACCACTGCAGTCCAGCCTGGTGTTAGAGTGAGACTGCATCTCAAAAAAAAAAAAATTAGCTGGGCGTGGTGTCAGGTGCTTGTATAGTATTTCTTTCGTTTTTCTTTACAAGTCGAACTAGACACTACCATTGGAGAGCAGTAAGACTTACAGTGATCACAGTAAAGATGTAGCTGTAAGTTATGTGTTCAAGGTGCTGTTAAATTTCTAACAATTGAGTCATACACTAAATGTTTGGAGACCACAAAATCATGTGTGAACTTCTTATGAACTGAATACACCTCTCATCCTGGTCAGTCTCACCCATTCTCCTCTACATATGTTGGCTGTTTCAGGACTCAGTGGCTTTTGAGGATGTGTCTGTGAACTTCAGCCAGGAGGAGTGGGCCCTGCTGGCTCCTTCACAGAAGAAACTCTACAGAGATGTGATGCAGGAAACATTCAAGAACCTGGTCTCTATAGGTAAGGATGACATCATTTTTTCCTTTTTTTTTTTTTTGAGACGGAGTTTCGCTCTTGTTACCCAGGCTGGAGTGCAATGGCGCGATCTTGGCTCACCGCAACCTCCGCCTCCTGGGTTCAGGCAATTCTCCTGCCTCAGCCTCCTAAGTAGCTGGGATTACAGGCACGCGCCACCACGCCCAGCTAGTTTTTTATATATTTTTTTCAGTAGAGACGGGGTTTCACCATGTTGACCAGGATGGTCTTGATCTCTCGACCTCGTGATCCACCCGCCTCGGCCTCCCAAAGTCCTTTTTTTTAAATTTTTTTTTTTTTTGAGATGGAGTCTTGCTCTGTTCCCCAGGCTGGAGTGCAGTGGTGCAATCTCAGCTCACTGCAACCTCTGCCGCCCGGGGTTCAAGAGATTCTCCTGCCTCAGCCTCCCAAGTAGCTGGGATTACAGGCACCTGCCACCATGCCCGGGTAATTTTTGAATTTTTAGTAAAGACTGGGTTTCACTATGTTGGCCAGGCTGGTCTCACTCCTGACCTCAGGTGATCCACCGCCTTGGCCTCCCAAAGTGCTGGGATTATGTGAGCCACCACACCCAGCTGACATCATTTTTCATATAGTCAATTAGAGAACTAGCATTTCTTGCTCATTATCACTATTCCGGGATTTGGAATCTGAAAAGGGAATACTTCAGTAAATAAACCAGGCATGGTTACAACTTTTTTTTTTTTTTTTTTTCCAGACCACTCAGGGAGATACAGCTCATTTTGAACCTAGAATCTAATAATATTTGTATGATTTTAAATAATTTATTATAATTATTCTGGATCTATACTTTAGGGAAAAAATGGGAAGACCAGAATGTTGAAGATCAGCACAAAAACCAGGGGAAAAATCTAAGGTGAGTTGCACTCACGAGAGATAGCAATGTTCCTTGAAAGAATCTTAAAAATGTCAGTACACAGCTGGGCATGGTGGCGCGTGCCTGTAATCCCAGCTACTCAGGAAGCTGAGGCAGGAGAATTGCCTGAACCCAGGAGGCGGAGGTTGCGGTGAGCCGAGATCGCGCCATTGCACTCTAGCCTGGGTAACAAGAGCGAAACTCCGTCTCAAAAAAAAAAAAAAAAAAAAAAAAAAAATGTCAGTACACTTTTAAAACAAGAAATAAGCTCAGCTCCAACTGCGTTTATTTATTTATTTATTTTTGTTATTACTATTTTTTTCTTGGGAGGGAGTTTTGCTCTGTTGCTCAGGCTGGAGTGCAGTGGTATGATCTCAGCTCACTGCAGCCTCCACCTCCCAGGTTCAAGTGAGTCTCCTGCTGCAGCCTCCTGAGTAGCTGGGATTATAGGCATGCGCCACCACCCCCAGCTAATTTTTATGTTTTTAGTAGAGACGGCATTTTGCCATGTTGGCCAAGCTGATCTCAAACTCCTGACCTCAGATGATTAACCTGCCTCAGCCTCCCACAGTGCAGGGATTACAGGTATAAGCCATCGAGTCCCAAATTTATTTATTGTCAGAAAATGTTTAACAAAATTGTTTTCTCAATGTTTTCTCAATTGTTTTCACAGATGTCCACTGATTGAAAAATACTGTACTTGGGCTGGGCACTGTGGCTCATGCTTATAATCCCAGCACTTTGGGAGGCTGAGGCAAGTGGATCACCAGAGGTCAGGATTTTGAGACCAGCCTAGCCAACATAATGAAACCCTGTCTCTATTAAAAATACAAAAATTAGCTGGGCATGGTGGCACACACCTATAATCCTAGCTACTCAGGAGGCTAAGGCAGGAGAATCACTTGAAGCTGGGAGGCAGAGGTTGCAGTGAGCCACGACTGCACCATTGCACTGGAGGCTGCGCAACAGAGCGAGACTCCATTTCAAAAAAAAAAAAAGAAAAATATTGTCCTTGGGAACAATTTTTGTTTGTTCATTTATTTTGTGAAACAGAGTCTCACTCTGTCACCCAGCTGGAGTGCAGTGGTATGATCTCATCTCACTGTAACCTTTACTCCCTGGGTTCAAGCAATTCTCCCACCTCAGCCTCCCGAGTAGCTGGGATTATAGGTGCACACAACTACACCAGGCTAATTTTTGTAATTTTTGGTAGAGACGGGGTTTCACCGTGTTGGCCAGGCTAGTCTCAAACTCCTGAGCCCGAGTGATCCACCCCCCTGAGCCTCCCAAAGTGCTGGGATTACAGGCATGAGCTACGATGCCCAGCCTTGGAAACAGTATTTTAAAGCCTCATATATAACTTTAAGAAGCCATCATAGGCAGATCATTTGAGCTCAGGAGTTGGAAACCAGCCTGGGCAACAAGACAAAACCCTATCTCTACAAGAAATATAAAAATCAATTGGTCATGGTGATGCATACTTGTAGTCCCAGCTATATGGGAGGCTGAGGTGGGAGGATGGATTGAGCCCAGGAGATCAAGCCTGCAGTGAGCCATGATTCCATCACTATACTCCAGTCTGGGCGACAGAGCAAGACTGTCTCAAAACAAAACAAAAACCATACATCAATATTATTGTTTTGACAATAGCTATCAGTGACACAAGCCCTCTTGGAGAACATTGAGTATATTCATTTTCAAACATTTCAGCTGGGCACGGTGGCTGATGCCTGTAATCCCAGCACTTGGGGAGGCAGAGACAGGTGGATCACCTGAGGTCAGGGGTTCAAGACCAGCCTGCCCAATATGGTGAAACCCCCATCTCTACAAAAAAAAAAAAAATACAAAAATTAAATGGGTATGGTGGCAGGTGCCTGCAATTCCACCTACCCAGGAGGCCGAGGCAAGAGAATCACTTGAACCTGGGAGGCGGAGGTTGCAGTGAGCTGAGATCATGCCACTGCACTCCAGTCTAGGTCACAAGAACAGGACTCTGTCTCAAAAAAACAAAACAACAAAAACCCAATTCAGACAGGGCAGAAAATGATTTCCCTGAAAATGATAAAAAATTTAGTTCTGCTGCCAGGAGTGGTGGCTCATGCCTGTAATCCCAGTACTTGGGGAGGCCAAGGACGGTGGATCACCTGAGGTCAGGAGTTTAAGAGCAGCCTGACCAACATGGTTAAACCCCATCTGTTCTAAAAATACAAAATTAGCTGGGTGAGGTGGCACATGCCACCACAAATCCCAGCCACTTGGGAGGCTGAGGCAAGAGAATCACTTGAACCCCAGAGGTGGAGGTTGCAGTAAGTTGAGATCACACCATTTCACTCCAGCCTGGGCAACAAGAGCAAAACTTTGTCTCAAAAAAAAAAAAAAAAAAAAGAAATAAATAAATTTAGTTCTACTACCTGATAATAAATGTAAAATCATTAATACTCAACCAGTATTACTGTGCTTCTAATTTTTTACAGAAGCCATAAGGTAGAGAGACTCTGTGAAAGTAAAGAAGGTAGTCAATGTGGAGAAACCTTCAGTCCCAGTCTCTGTGTGACCAAGAAGACTGCCAGAGTAAAATTAGATGAATGTACTGTCTGTGGAAAAGTCTTCACGCGTCGCTCGTCCCTTACTAGACACATGAGGTCTCACACTGGATATGAGCTAATTGAGAAGCCATATAAATGTAAGGAATGTGGGAAAGCCTTTAGTTATCTCAAATCCTTTCAAAGACATGAAAGGAGTCACACTGGAGAAAAACCCTATAAATGTAAACAATGTGGAAAAACCTTCATATATCATCAACCCTTTCAAACACATGAACGGACTCACATTGGAGAAAAACCCTATGAATGTAAGCAATGTGGGAAAGCTCTTAGTTGTCCCAGTTCACTTCGAATTCATGAAAGGATTCACACTGGAGAAAAGCCCTATGAATGTAAAAAATGTGGGAAAGCCTTCAGTTGTCCCAGTTCTATTCGAATACATGAAAGAACTCACACTGGAGAGAAACCCTATGCATGTAAGGAATGTGGGAAAGCCTTCATTTCCCACACAAGTGTTCTAACACACATGATAACGCACAACGGAGATAGACCTTATAAATGCAAGGAATGTGGGAAGGCATTCATTTTTCCCAGTTTTTTACGAGTACATGAAAGAATTCACACTGGAGAAAAACCCTATAAATGTAAACAATGTGGTAAAGCCTTCAGATGTTCCACTTCCATTCAAATTCATGAAAGAACTCATACTGGAGAGAAGCCCTATAAATGTAAAGAATGTGGGAAATCTTTCAGTGCACGCCCAGCCTTTCGAGTACACCTCAGAGTCCATACTGGCGAGAAACCCTATAAGTGTAAAGAATGTGGGAAAGCCTTTAGTAGGACCAGTTACTTTCGAATACATGAAAGGACTCACACTGGAGAAAAGCCCTACGAATGTAAAAAATGTGGGAAAACCTTCAATTATCCTCTAGATTTGCAAATCCACGAGAGGAATCACACTGGAGAAAAACCCTATGAGTGTAAGGAATGTGCAAAAGCCTTCATTTCTCTTGAAAACTTTCGAAGACACATGATCACACACACTGGAGATGGACCTTATAAATGTAGAGACTGCGGGAAGGCATTCATTTTTCCTAGTGCGTTACGAACACATGAAAGAACTCACACCGGAGAGAAGCCCTTTGAATGTAAACAATGTGGAAAAGCCTTTAGTTGTTCCAGTTACATTCAGATCCATGAAAGAACTCACACTGGGGAGAAACCTTATGAATGTAAGGAATGCGGGAAGGCCTTTATTTATCCCACAAGCTTTCAAGGACACATGAGAATGCACACTGGAGAGAAACCCTATAAATGTAAAGAATGTGGGAAGGCCTTTAGTCTTCACAGTTCCTTTCAAAGACATGAAAGAATTCACAGTTGTGAGAAACCTCTTGAATGTAAGCAATGTGGTAAAGCTTTCATTTTATCCACGTCCTTGCAAAAACATATGAGAATGCACACTCGATAGAAACTCTATATATGTGAGAAAGAGAGGAAAGTTTTCAGTTCTAACAGATACTTTCAAAGTTATGAAAATTCCCACTGAAGAGAGAAATCCTATAAATGTAAGTAATATAGAAAGCAAGTTACAGGATAATTCATGTACAGTCAGGTACCACATAATCGTGTTTCAGTCAGCAATGGACCATATATAAGTTGGTGGCCCCTTAAGATTATATAACAGCTAAAACATTTCTATCACCTGTAATTTAGTAGTAGTAGTAACACCACAGCACAGCACATTAAGTGTTTATGGTGATGCTTGTGTAAACCTGTTGCACTTCCAGTTATATAAAAGTACAACAGCTTGGCCTGGTGGCTCACACCTGTAATCCCAACACTGGGAGACTAAGGCAGTAGGAATTACTTGATGCAGGGAGTTTGTGACTAGCCTGGTCAACATAGACCCCCATCTCTACAAACAATAAAAACATTTTCTAGATGGGGTCACACGTCCTGTAGTTCCAGCTACTTGGAAGGCTGGGGCAGGAGAATTGCCTGAGCCCAGGAATTTGAGGCTATAGTGGAACAAGATCACGGGATGGCAGTCCAGCATGGGTGACAGAGTGAGACTCTGTATCCAAAAAAAAAAAAAAAAAAAATGGCTAGGTGCGGTGGCTCACATCTGTAATCCCAGCACTCCGGGAGGCTGAGGTGGGAGGATCACTTGAGGTCAGGAGTTCAAGACCAGCCTGGTCAAATGATGCAATCTTGTCTCCAGTAAAAATATGAAAATTAGCCGGGCGAGGTGGCTCAAGCCTGTAATCCCAGCACTTTGGGAGGCCGAGGCGGGTGGATCACAAGGTCAAGAGATGGAGACCATCCTGGTCAACATGGTGAAATCCCGTCTCTACTAAAAATACAAGACATTAGCTGGGCATGGTGGCGCATGCCTGTAATCCCAGCTACTCAGGAGGCTGAGGCAGGAGAATTGCCTGAACCCAGGAGGCGGAGGTTGCGGTGAGCCGAGATCGCGCCATTGCACTCCAGCCTGGGTAACAAGAGTGAAACTGCCTCAAAAAAAAAAAAAAAAAATTAGCTAGGTGTAGTGGTGCCCCTGTAGTCCCAGCTACTTGGGAGGCTGCGGCAGGAGAGAATCGCTTGAACCCGTGAGATGGAGGTTGCAGTGAGCCGAGATCTGCTACTGCACTCTAGCCTGGGCGACACAGCGAGACTCCATCTCAAAAAAAAAAAAACAATTACACAGCACATAGCATTATGTGCAATACATACTTGATAATAAATGGCTATATTACTGGTTTATATATCTACAATATTGTTTTAGAATGTATTCCTATTTTTTTAACAGTTAACTGTAAGATAGTCTCAGGCAGGTCCTTAAGGAGATATTCCGGAAAAAAAGGGATTGTTATGATAGATGACAGCTGCATGTGTGTGAGTGCCCCTGAATGTCTTCTGGTAGGACAAAATGTGGAGGTGAAAGACAGTGATACTGATGATCCTCACCCTGTGTAGTCCTAGACTAATGTCTGTTTGTGTCTTAGTCTTTAATTAAAATAAATAGAAAAAACCTTATAGAATACAGACATAAAATATTTTTGTACAGCTGTACGATGTGTTTCAAGCTAAATTATAAAGTTTTTTTAAAAAGTTTATAAAGAGAATAATGTACAGTAAGTTAAGGTTTATTGAGGAAAAGGTGTTTTTATGAATGTAGTGTAGTCTAAGTGTACAATGTTTATAAATTCTGCATTAGTGTACAGTAACATGCTAGAACCTCACATTCACTCACCACTCACTCACTCACCTAGAGCAACTTCCAGTCCTGCAAGCTGTGTTCATGGTAAGCATCCTATGCAGGTGCATCTTTTTGTCTTTTATACTGCATTTTTACTTTATGTATTTTATATGTTTAGATTCCTACTTAACATTTTGTTACAATTTCCCGCAGTGTTCAGTACAATAATTTGCTATACAGGTTTATAGCCTAGTAGCAATAGGCTGTACCATATAATCCAGATGTGTTGTAGCTGTACCATCTAGAGCTGTATAAATTCACTTTGTGATGTTTGTACCATGAGGAAATCACTTAACAACACATTTCTTGGAACATGAGTAAGCAATTTCTGACTATATAATGCTCCAGAAAATTCACATCATGAAAGACATGTTATAAAAGTTAAGGCCAGGCCGGGCGCGGTGGCTCAAGCCTGTAATCCCAGCACTTTGGGAGGCTGAGGCGGGTGGATCACGAGGTCAAGAGATCGAGACCATCCTGGTCAACATGCTGAAACCCCGTCTCTACTAAAAATACAAAAAAAAAAAAATTAGCTGGGCATGGTGGCGTGTGCCTGTAATCCCAGCTACTCAGGAGGCTGAGGCAGGAGAATTACCTGAACCCAGGAGGCGGAGGTTGTGGTGAGCCGAGAGCGCGCCATTGCACTCTAGCCTGGGCAACAAGAGCGAAACTCTGTCTCAAAAAAAAAAAAAAAGTTAAGGCCAGGCATGGCGGCTCACACCTGTAATCCCAACACTTTGAGAGACCAAGGCGGGCAGATCTCCTGAGGTCAGGAGTTTGAGACCAGCCTGGCCAACATGGTGAAACCCTGTGACTACTAAAAATAGAAACATTAACTGTGTGGTGGCATGCACCTGTAATCCCAGCTACTTGGGAGGCTGTGGTCGGAGAATCATTTGAACCTGGGAGGCGGAGGCTGCAGTGAGCCGAGATTGCAGTCCAGCCTGGGCAACACAGCAAGACTCCGTCTCACACACCAAAAAAAAAGTTAAAAGTATTTTTTATCAGTGGCTCATTCTTCAAGTACATGTCTGGACTATGTATGAATTGTGACTTATTTTGCAAGAAATCTTGGAAGCAAGATAATTCTGTAAGAACTCTTTAAGCAGTAGTCAAAAGTTTAAAAGGTTGTGTTTTCTCATTAAATCAATTAGTAAAACTTTCTATTTCTCTTGATGTCTTGATTTATGGGTAAATTGAAGTGTATTTTTTTTCTTGTACTTAAAGACCACTGTTAGAAGTGTATTTTTAATATACAATTTTTTTTAATTTGTATATTGTTTTTCAGTTGTTTTCTGAATAAAGAGACTATTGAATACTGATACATTAGTAATTGTAGGATTTTTCCTATGGGCCTCGTGTGGAAGACGGTGCATATATTACCCATTATGTATTTATTTTACCTTTCTTTTGCAAAAAACTACTTTTAAAATTTCTTGGCCAGATGTGGTGGCTCACTCCTTTGCAATCCCAGCACTTTGGGAAGGTAGTTTGAGACCAGATATAATGGTCTTGACCAGATGCAGTGGCTCACTCCTTTGTAATTCCAGCATTTGAGGTCAGGAGTTTGAAACCAGCCTCACCAACATGGTGAAACCCTGTCTCTACTAAAAATACAAAAATTAGCCAGGCATGTTGGAGGGTACCTATAATCTCAGCTTCTCATGAAGACGAGGCAGGAGAATTGCTTGAACCTGGGAGGCAGAGGTTGCAGTGAGCTGAGATCATGCCACTGCACTCCAGCCTGAGCAACGGAATGAGACTCCGTATCAAAAAAATAAAACATAATAAATTACTATCAGCTAGAATGCCCTTATTCCATTTTTCTTTTTTTTAAAACATCCGGCATAAGTTGGTAAGTATGTGAAGTTTATCATATGGTCTTATGTGAATTATTATTTTCACGTTTTGTGCTTTGTAATTCTGGCTCGGATTTGGATAGTAGAGTTTGAATTCAGGAGGGACATCTGTGATGGGATAATAAAATCTAGAGCTGGACATGGCTCTCCTGCTACCTGTCAACACAGGTAAATTTCCTAAAATCTGTTCCCTTTATAGTTCCATGTTCAGATTCACTAATAGCCTCACTTGCATGAGATTTGCCAGGCAGAAGTCAAGACGACGTAAGTCAGGTATTGGAACCCTACCATACAAGGAGACAGTGCTTCCTGCTTATTTTCCCAGTTATTTTCTCTGCTAATCAAAAGTATGCTGAAAACACACTCAGCTACTTGACTTCCATTCTCAAAGAGATGTGTTAGTTTCCACAGTTGTCTCCACAAGCTCCATGTCAAAGATCCATCTACAGTTTGGATTTTCCTGCTAGCCTTAGTGTGTGCCCCGGGCATTTAATTCAGACTATCGTGGTTGGCAGTGTTCGCTGAGGTTCTGTCTTCCCTCTGTGAGGTTTAATTTTTATGTTTCTTAGTCTATTAATGCCATTAGGGACTATGTATTCCTGATAGCGAGTAAGACTCACTAAGTATTCCTGATTCACTATCAGGAATACATAGTCCCTAATGGCATTAACAGAACAGCTACAGTGAGACAGTCAAAAGAAACTACATGGAAACTATAAAGAAGCTACTGTCCTACAAAGTGACTACTCTTCCCCCATCCTTCCATTTGAGAATAATCACCTTCCTCATATTGGACAAATGGTGGGTGTTTCCAACTACTGCTCAATGTTCTCCCTTAATATATTTTCATTTATGTTTGGTTGTATGCACCTAAAAATAATGCATTTTTTTGTGAAGCAAAAGCTTCTTAGATATTTCTTAGAAATATTCTGTTAACTGTTTCCAAACAACATGTATACTACTAAATATTATCATTGGCTGGGTGCAGTGGTTCACTGCTATAATCCCAACAATTTGGGAGGCTGAGGCAGGAGGATTGCTTGAGGCCTGGAGTTGGGAGACCAGCCTGGGCAACATAGCAAGACCCCATCTCTTTTTTTTTTTTTTTTTTTTTTTTTTGAGACGGAGTTTCGCTCTCGTTACCCAGGCTGGAGTGCAATGGCGCCATCTCGGCTCACCGCAACCTCCGCCTCCTGGGTTCAGGCAATTCTCCTGCCTCAGCCTCCTGAGTAGCTGGGATTACAGGCACGTGCCACCATGCCCAGCTAATTTTTTGTATTTTTAGTAGAGACGGGGTTTCACTATGTTGACCGGGATGGTCTCGATCTCTTGACCTCGTGATCCACCCGTCTCAGCCTCCCAAAGTGCTGCTGGGATTACAGGCTTGAGCCACCGCGCCCGGCCCTTTTTTTTTTTTTTTTTGAGATGGAGTTTCACTCTTGTTGCCCAGGCTGGAGTGCAATGGCATGATCTCAGCTCACTGCAACCTCTGCCTCCCAGGTTCAAGCAATTCTCCTGTCTGAGCCTCCTGAGTAGCTGGGATTACAGGCATGAACCACCATGCCCAGCCAACCCCATCTCTATTAAATCCAAAATACGTAATTATACTGTCTTTTCTGTTTCCTGAAAGGCTATATTAAAATATCCCATTACAGTTATGAATATTCAGATCAACTTTGTCATTTTATCAAGATACATTCTGACTCAATATTAGCATGTGCACTAAAATTCTGGTATTTTTCCCTGAGATATTTTTTATTCTTATACTTACACATTTTGTCATAAAACGAAATTCTCTTCATGATAACAGTGGCATTTTCAGTGCCCTATTGCCAGCAATCACCAGGGTCACACCTGTATACAAAATTAATTACAGTAATACAGTAGTCAGTTCTGAGCCAAAGTTTTGCTTTCTGTGGTTTTAGTCATGGTCACAGTCCAAGACACTTAATGGAAATTTCCAGAAATA